AATATGTACAGCTTACAAATGTTTAATAAAGCATACTTAACTAACCTGACAGAGGGTAAAAAAAAAAAAAAAAAAAAGCAAATAGCAATATAACTCTTATGAATTCTTGATCTATAATTGAAATTAATCTATTTATCTTATCAAAATGATGTAAATAGAGCATATCAATGATATACTGTATACTAAATTTTTTAGCATTTAACCAATTTTGCAAAGAAATTTTAACTCATATTTGCCCTTTGTATTGAAGTTATATCCTGCTTTATAATAGAAAGGTTATCAAATAAATTTTTATTATCAAAGAGTTTACCATATCCTTTTCCATCAATATATATAATTCTCAATATAAAAGTAAACATATCTCATATCAAAACTTGGATAAATATTAAAGAATTTGGGTAATGTTTTACCTCTATTATCGAATAGTAGTAATATCAAAACCTGACATATTTATCGATTATATTGTATTTATGAGATTTAGACTTACAGTATTAGATTTGATTTAATATACAGTACATAATTAAATCCGAATTCATTTTTAGTGCAGACTGGATTCTTTATGTGTAATAATACGATTTATAAACACGTGATGTTGAGCGAACTTTTTTAACGATTAGTTCGCTTAAATTTTGCTAAGAAAAAATAATGTTTGATACATTTCATGCGAAAATCCTTATTTAACCCATGATGATCAATAATATATTTACAATAGCGAAGCCTTTAGTAAAACTAAAGAAAAATCGATATAAGACCCTACAAATACAATTCATGAATATATAATTACGGAACAATAATAAAAACTATCTTTCCGCAATGCACTTTCTTTGAAAAATATTTTTCGCCCAGTTATTCAGGATCAGACAACGGATCTTCCGCCTTTAGCCCACAACGTGCTCTCCTCAAATAAAAAAAATAGCCGTTATAATTTTTTCGTTTATATATTACAAGACTAGCGATAAAGGATGCCGGTGGAATTCGAATTTGACTCAGCCTGTCGAGTGATAATGAGAACGATCGATCCACGAACATCTCCTTAGATCCCCGCCTCTAGATCATCGTAAATAGAAAAATCGCACAGATGGTGGAGAAGAAGACGTGAAGCGAAAGCAACAATTTGTCCGGGACAGAGCGGAACAACAATCTGGAGTTGGGGAGGCATGATTCGCATCCCTCGGAATCACCCAATGCGACTAAACGGCAAAGAGGATTCGCCTCGTCGTGCACATCCCAATGAAAGTCGCTTATCGTATTGAATTAATCGCGATCACAAATTACTTAATTTCGTATACATCTCCCCATAATATTCTTGAACAAAATGATTAATACAATTAGATAACGGTACAAGCTCACGAAGCAAATTGTCTACACATATTTGGTGTTTGGAATTATGTGTGCTGGCCGTGTATATGGAAGGAGAATATATAACGTATATGCTCCAAAATTTTCGATGAAATTCGACCAGAACCCATTACTCCGGTGGGATGGATGCTTCAACGTATGGAAATAATAAAAATTCACGGTATTGGTCACTTGCAATACGGCACTTTGATCGATGAGTTGTACTAGAAAGATTAAAGTTCGGTTTTCTCGATCCGTGACGCACTCTGATACCATTAGGAACCGAAACTTCACTAACTTATCGAGGGATTGAAAATTATTACGTCCAGATATAATAAGACGGGCCTTTTCTTTACGGGTATTATATTTAATAGAATTACTTAAGTTATCTTCCGAATTCTTATTGTTTTGTAGAATGAGGGCATGTCGAAGTTTTCTCCATTTTATTGAGGTGTTGTCGCACATGTTTTCTTTTAACTACCCATCAGATCTTTTTAAACCCAACCACCACCCAAATGCAACCCACAGACGTTCATTATTGGATTTTCTGATGAATGGACCGTTCTCATGATCCGCTTTGTTGGTACAATATGTCATGTGATAGACCGACGTAGTATTACGTCCCCTCGATCGGGAGGGAAAGCTTTTTATTATTTCCTTCAAATAATCCCAGAAAATTTTTCACTAAATCAATGGCTCCGCATTTGGTGATCCTGGACATGGTGACTCAGGATATGGTCTATTGGTACTCACTTTACATACCCTCACTTTTTTGGGGGTTGACATGCACGCAGATAAATGGTGCCGACTTTCATCTCGAGGTCGTTTCCGAAGCCCGGCACTCTTAAATGATTGTTATCCTGTCCACTTTTTTGGACGATCTTTATCGTCTCTTGAACTACAGACTAAACTTAAAAATACATCAGCTTTGTATGTCAAAATATATCTAACAGAATTATGAACCTAACCTTTATATTCAAGGCCGATGCAAGAATGGTCAAAATTGATTCAAATTTTTCGGCCACATCGGGCACTTCCATCAAATCACTACGTCGCAACGTAGCCCATTGGGTTATCGAGATATAATATTACCATCTTGAGGCCTATCACAAAAAATTAAGATATTAGTTAACGATACATTTAGATGGAAATCAGATCAGTCATATACCTCCATGAATAATTCCTACGGTTTGTATTTTTTTGCGTATTTCTTCGTTCCAACCTATTTTTTCCATTAAGTTTAGTAGCATGTCTTTAAGTACCTTTGGAAGTTTCAGCCCTCCTTCTCTAAAATATTTCGTTCCATATTGGTCTACCCAACTATTACCAGCCTCTCCCGCCCCAAATTCATTTTTATCACTATTCCCGACAGCCCTGAGGAACCAATCTCCTTTACGCCCGGTTTTTCGGCGGTCTCCTGGTTTCCTTTTCATTTTTGGATTTTTTCGAGTGGCTGTAGATATACACGTGCTTTCACCTCTTGATCATTAAAGGACAGAATCATATTAAATCAAAGAAGATAACCTTTTAGAAAAAAGAAAGGAAAATACCTGACAACAGATATGGCCTTCATATTTTCGAATGCGTGGTCAAAGATCACACTCCATATGTGAAAGTTAAACCAGTTTTCAAGATTTGCTTCCGTGATTTTTCCACTTTCAATTTTTCTAACTCTATAGGTATTTTCAGTCAATACACTGTTGACATCACACAAAAAGAACAAAGGTGGAAACTGCAATTTACAATGCATGTAAAGCCAGACATATGTAGTCCATATCGTGTTGTTTTTCAAAATCATAATCAATACCGAAACTGTATTCCTTGATTAGTTGTCGTATTTCATTTAATTTCGTCTACAGCAAAATAGAAAGAACTAGATGACTTACTGCATTATGCATATTGTTTGCCAGCAACATGTAAATGAGATATTTATTACCTTTCCGATAAATTTTCATTAACTTCATCTGAGAGTTCGAGAACTTCTGGGATAGGTGTGAGCTCTATCTCGCGAAGTTCTGTCTCGGTGAAACAGTCTGCAACCAACTCATCATCGATATCTAGGATAAATGAATGAACAGCACTAGGGAATAAAACTTCAATTTAGAATAATTATTCTACATAAACATAACCTCATACATGAATACTAACTGCTCAAACTCCAACTCCCTTCCTAATTTATATAGTTCATCTTCGATTACTTTTCCCGACGAAAGTTTCCACATGTGTCGTCTATCAATTAACTTGTAAGCTTCTTCAACCTCCTTTCTATTTTCTTCGCTTAATTTAAGTGGTTCCGTCTAAATGGCAAGAAAATAAATTATTATCAGTGTTCAATATACACAAAAAGAATAAGTATAACGAGGTTCACTTTGTTATTCCTCGCCTCTTCTACTTTATCTTTAGTCGCATCCTTCACCTCTTGATCATCAATCGCCCCCTTCAAAAGTATATGGTGGTGAGAATAATAAACATTCACAGCTAACGACATCTACCAGATATAATTTACCTCATGATCTGATATGTCCAATTTATCTCTTTCGGAATTAAAAACATCAGCTTCTGCCTACATACGCAGAATGTTTACGGAAAATACTTTTTTCGTCGCTAAACATTAACCTAATATAATTACCTTGCTTCCAAGAGACATGGAAGGATCTGACAGATTATGTCGAGGGGTTAAAGTTACAGTACGTGGTGAAGGGATTCGAATGTTGAAATAGGGATATCAGATATTTTCATCGTTTTCGATCACTTCTACTCTTGCTGGATTATTCTTCTCTCGAGTCTATTCAAAATCCAATTATTTCTAAAATACAAAAATACTGGAAATATCAATTGGTGGATCTTACAGTGCTCGATTCTTCTTGATGTATTCTCGTTTTAGTGCTCACTTCTCGACTTTCTAAGACTGTTTCATCAGCCAAGTCCTTCATCATCACCTGTGTCTTTTGTTTGACTTTTGTTCGACATTCATACTAAAAAAACAAGATAATTAAAAATAAAAACACGTACAAAGAGCCGTCGATAGAACATAGCATCATACCGTTTGCAAAGCATTAATTTTTTCCAGTTGTTGTTTTTCAATATCAACCCAGAAATTCTTAATGTCCGGTCTTTGATAATGGTCCTATAAAATATCTTTAACAGTTAGCGAATATATAAGGAAATACTCTAGCACTAGCAGATCACGGCAGACCACAACAGTCCCGTAAGAATATCCCGGAAGGGAAACCGTAATCGCCCTTCCCTGGTTGAGTGAGTCATAAATGACCGCTTGAAGATCCATACACCACAACGATCCGTAAACCATCAAAGGAGAAACCGTAATCGCTCCTCATAGTCGTGAAAGTTGGATATCTTTTCCAACTAGATGGAATCCTCATACTGCATGTGATTGCATGTGCTATATATGGTAAACAATACAAACTGTAATACTTAACGCGAAGGCTGCTGATTAATCTATTTGCTCTGTCTTAAACTTCCCGAGAATCTTCCTGAACTAAACGTTCAAGTGATCTCAGGAGCCTAAAGGACTCTGTTTCAAATAAATAACTAAAATCATCTTGACGGTAGCGATATTTATAAAAGCCTAGATAGCTCCACATGTCCATATGGGTCACAGTAAAATAATTATCATCTGTTCTTGACATGGTGATTGCAAGAATTTGATGTGAAACCATAAACCCGAACGTTACGCGTAAATACATTGCTTTAAAATCACGTGATCATTAAAAAATGAGTTAAGAATTTTAATTAATATATTTAACCTATACTTAAATAGAGGTAATATAAGCCAAACTCGGATTTTGTTAAATTACACATACAGTGGTCACATTTTAACATCACCTATATAGAGTATGTCAAGAATAATGATTCTTAAAATATAACAATCAACAAAAAAACAATAGCAGGAGATAATTTTATACTTATGGAACAATGGCACATATAGTGCACAAGAAATTCAACAATTAACTAGTATCAGTCATTCTATAATATATTTCAACCTCAAAAAGTTAGCAGAGGTAGGTGACTTGAGGTATAAACTAGGTATAGGAAGATCAAAAAAGATTAACAACAATATCTTGAAGGTTATAAGTCAATATTTTTGTCAAAATCCAATAGCTTTTACAGTTCATATA